TTATTTGGGGGTATATATGGTGCATTCCGTCGCCTTGGAGAGGTTCTTTTCTCATGCATATCTCACTTTTATACATTAACTGCAATCTTGTTCTATTTTACGTCTATCCCTCCTTAGTTGACTGATGAAGTTATCTTTATCTTTTCATTTTATTTATTGATGCTTCATCATATTTGATTGGTGTGACATTATTTTATGCTTCTATTACTTTCGGGTGTTTTTAACTCTTGTTCAATTAATGATTTATGTGCTGGGAAGCACAATAGTTTCAAGTTGCACGTTAGCATCTCTAATGCACCCCTTTTGCTACTTATGAGTCTTATAGAAGAGAAAAAAAAAACAAAGCTTTTGAGGGTACATAATTTGTCTGTTGATAGAATTAAGTCGGCTTAGGAACCTTGGCTTTTTTATAATGGCTCATCCTCTTTATACTGTTGAAGATTTAGGATATTTGGTTCACATTTTGATAGACATGTAACTAACTTTATTTATGAGTTTCATCCCCTTGGACTTCAGTAATATCATACTTTTTCTTTGAAAAAGAAAAAAGCATCTCTAACACCATTCTTTTGCTTCATATATAAAATTTTTATGACCTTCATATCTGGACTATTTCTTCTTTTAATACTTTTCTATTTATTGCAGATTCGAACATTAGGGATGCTCAGATCTCGTTTTGAATCATTGCCTGGTGCATTTAATGCCTGTCTAATTCCAAATGAGAAGAGTGAGCCAAAGAAGAAAGGACTGAGGACCACATTGTCCCGCGACTACGCAGAGGTTGAAAATTCTGCATCTTATAACCTGGATTTAATTGTGCATTTTCAAACTTAGCACTTTCATCAAACTTAAACATGAATGTTATCTGCAGATCCCTCCCAACAAAGAGAAAGAGGCTGCAAGATTTGCTCAGTTATGGAACAAAATAATCAGTAGTTTTAGAGAGGAAGATCTTATAGACAATAGGTATTACATGTACTATGCTATTAGTCATGCTTCAAAAGCTCAGTTTCTTGTTTTCCTAGCAGATTGAGTCTTGTTTAATTCTCAGGGAAATGAATTTGTTGCTTGTACCATATTGGGCTGACCGTGATTTGGAACTTATACAGTGGCCACCATTTTTACTTGCTAGCAAGGTTTGTTTCTCCATTCTTTTATGGAACTTTTAACATGGATGTTCAGTTAGTGATGTTATGTCTGTGCTTTAGATCCCAATAGCATTGGACATGGCAAAGGACAGTAACGGAAAGGATCGAGAGCTAAAGAAGAGGATTGAGGCTGACAATTACATGTCCTGTGCTGTCCGTGAGTGCTATGCTTCATTCAGAAACATTATCAGGTTCTTGGTTCAGGGGAACCGTGAGAAAGAGTAAGTTCTGCTGTTGTTATAGGAAGCATAACGAGAGAGCTTGTTGAACATAGAAGTTCCTTCCTTACATTTTCCATATCATTAGGACTGTTTGTTAAAGGCCTATCATTAGGTTTGTTGCTTGGTTAGATCTCATTTATTCAAGAATGAATGACATGTCCTTTAACTCCCAGAGTTATAGAATTCATATTTTCTGAGGTTGACAAACATATAAGAGATGGAGATCTGATTCGTGAGTACAAGATGAGTGCTCTTCCCAGCCTCTATAACCATTTTGTCAAGCTGATAGAATATTTGGTAATATTCTTAGTTTCTTTTTCATTTTTTCTGAAGTTTGCTTCTAAATTAAGCCTTTGATCAATTGAATTCTTCTTTTTGCAGCTAGATAATAAAGCAGATGATAGGGATCAAGTTGTAATTCTTTTCCAGGACATGCTGGAAGTTGTTACAAGAGATATAATGATGGAGGATCATATATCCAGGTGTGGCATCTTGCTATGATGCTTCTGCTAACAGATGCTCATCCTAAATCATTATCTTATCCTTGTTTTCGTGAACAGTTTGGTAGATCA